GAACACGGGGGGGGGGGGGGGTGACCTCTGTGGGTATGTCCACACCTTTAACAGGGGTCGCTCTCACTGCAGGAGACCGCAGTGTAGTATGATTAATATGTTGCCATTCATTTGGCCTACCCAGTTTTAAGGCTTCTTCTGTCTCTGCACATATGCGTGTGAAGTGACTCTGTAGTAACTTTGTCCATCTGTGCCTTTGAACTGTAAAGAGCTCTGTGAAGATGCAAATGCAGAAAATTTCATTTACTTAATGTGCTTGGGGGGGAACTCACATAAACTAGAAAAAAGCTTCCGTAGGCTGAATGAGTACGGATTCCTTCAGCGCCTCAGACATGGGGAATCTCCCTTTGCACACCAGCCTGGGTTTCCAAGGGGGCTCCGCTGTCATGCGTGTATAAAAAGATAGATGCTGGCCGTGAACGTAATGCCTGCGTTCTCCCCCCCACCCCCCCCTGCATCACGCCAGGTCCGTCAGGCGTGTGCTGGTTAACAAGAGGGGGACTAGCGTGAGAGTTGAGGGACGGGAGACACAGACGCTGCTCTGCGAGGGCCAGCCTGCCTGCTGTCCCTCCTCGCTGTTTCTTTTGGCTCATGAAGAGCTCCATGCTTTGTCCTGGGGGACTGTACCAATGAGAGAGAGAGAGCGAGCGAGAGGGAGCTTGTGCTAGCCGAGAGAGACAGAGTACAGAGACTAATAGGAACCAGTGTGTGTGTGTGTTGGTTTTTTTTCCGGCACTGCAAATTGAGCGTAAAATGGGTAGTGCAAAACCAGGCTAGCCAAGAGCAGGACATGGAGCAAAGTGGGAGAGAGGTCTTTCTCCAGAAAAAGAACAAAACCCGCGAAACGAGATCTATTTAAATCCATTTAAATCCACTGACTCCCTTGCTCCCTCGGGTCTAAATCCAGCTGTGAGCGGTGGGGGAGATTTCACTCAGTGCTGTTACTGCAGGAGGGGGGACAGCACGCGCAGGAGGCAGCCGGGGTTGACATCTGTATCCCGCTGTGTGGAAATCGTGGGAGCTGGGGTGGAGGAGGCTGCTGTGATGGCCCCATTTCAGCACGCGGAGATGATGGAGAAGGAGGTTGTCCGCCACACAGGCTGAAGGGGAAAGTGGGGAGGAGGAGAGGGGGGAGGGGGGAGGGGGGAGGTCAGCTGGCTTTCTGGAGGACAGCTCTTTTTTTTTCTGGTTTCTTGAAACGAGCGTCGTCGCAAGGTAAACAAAAGGCTGACGGCACAGGAGAGGAGAATTGGGCAGCTTCCGTGAGTATTGACTGCGATCTCTTACGAATGGCTGGAGTCCAGAAATTCTGATGACTTTGAAAGCCAATTCCACCCCCCCACCCCCCATCTTCCTGACTTTGTGTGTGAACCCAGGGTCAAGACTGCATCATCTTGAACTTTCACTTCCTTTTTAAAAAGATGAAATGTTAGCACGCTGATACCCTCACCGTGACTCGACTTTTTAGCTTAGACTTGAAATATGTGCAGTTCTTTGCTGGATTCTGTTCATCTCTGTGCAGTTGTTAATGCTTCTATTGTTAAGTTGTTATTTGTATCTCAAGCTAAAATGCCTTAATCACTGGTTTGACCTCACAGAGGTAAAGAATATTATGTTTTTTCTAGTGTACTCATCTCCCTCGTGCTGTGGCAAGGAAAGTCTGTGAGCTTTGAAGCAGCAGTGTTATTGAGCAACACAGAATAACTAGGTCATTAGTGCTCAAGTTACTTGTGTTATGTAAATAGAAACATTGTTTTATTTCACATCATACTCCAAATATAGAGAATATCGTTGTATTATTTTCACTCACAGTTTTAAAAACTGCTTCAACTATTTTAAAACGTGCGTTCCTTTGGGATATTTTTTCCCCTGTCACTATGGGAGACAGTATGCTTTTCCACCTTTTTTATCCTTAGTTCCCAGTTTTTGAAAATGTTCTTAGTCTCTCTTTATTAAGCCCTGGAGGGCATTATATTCCAGTATTTCTCACAGAAAAAAATAACATAGTATCTTCAACTTTGGTCTTGTTCTCTGTGATAAGAGGAGCAGGGAAGGAAGATTAAAAAAATGCAGGAACAAGGTAGAGAGTTTAAAAGCAGGCAGCAGACCATGAAATGGGCTTAATAGTAGCCACTGTTTTATTTACTATAAATATGATCCCTCTCACAATTTTGCAAGGGGGGTAATGTCACAGTATAAAAAGACAGAGTCTTCTGATGTGCTCTTCACATTTCACTTTTTGTGTGGGATCCTTCGTTTGTCTTGGATGCAGTGTGATGAGGAGTCCTCATTGAACAGTTCAGGAACATGCCAGACGCAGAGGTAGCGAGACAGGTCTAGTCTAAAAGGATAGCTATTGTTGGCATTGCTGTAGGGCTTTAAGAAAAGCTTATGAGAAAGCTTGTCATCATTCTTTTTGGATAAGTTGTGCTCTCTATGGTGACCTTAAAAAGAGGGAGTAGCAATATAATGTGCTTGTTTTAGTGGGGCTGAGGGACTCGCCACCTCCATATAGTTCCATTGTAAATGGCTATCCAGCATTGCTTATTTGATAAAACAGCTTCCAGTGACAACAAGAATCAAGCAGAGGGCTACAAAGCATTTTATTTTAGCATGTTTGTTTTTTTCAGCAGTTATGTGGGGACCTGGGGTAAAAAGCCTGATTCAAAACTGTTAGTCATGTTTGGAAAATGTGTATTTCCCAGTTTTGATATTTGTTTATTGGTACATGAAACAAGATTCCTACAGAAGAAATATATGTTTTTTCCATTTCTTATTCCCCTCTGCATAAATGTAGTGTTATGTGGTTGTAGCCGAGGAGCTCTTGTTTATGAACAAAAATAAAGGTTTTTAGTGTACAATAAAAAATTCTGAGCATCATCCATCATTATTTGATATTTTATACGGGGTGTGTCTTTGTCTGTAATTAGGGAAAGAAATCTGTGGACTGGAAAACTACCATTCAATCCAAAGCTATTCAAACACTAAGAAAAATTGCTTTGAGCCAGGCCTGTACAGTAAATTACACTATTGTCGTCAGGGAAACCGCAGTTTTAAAGCTCTGCCATTAACTTTTTGTTATTCATCATGTTTTGTTTTTTTCTAGCAGTAGTGTAATTTGTACTGATGTCTGATTAGATTAGGTCTTTCAGATCATTTCAGATCAGATCATTTTCCCTAAAAAATGTCCTTTGTGTCTTATGTTTTTTATTTTAAATGTGATGAGTTGGAATGATCAATTTGGTGGATTTTATGAAGTATTAATTTGTTGTATCTATTGTCATACAGCTTTCTCCATCAAGATGTTTTCGCCTGTTTCAGTAGCCAGTTTCTGGTGTGTACTTCCTTGATGATCAATGAACAAATGTAATATTCGGTGAAACCTTCTGAATCTTGGAATATTAATCCCGTGCACTGTGAAGCCAAATGCTATTAACCTTATACAATATTTAAAATTAGAAAATGAAGGGAAATCCTGCTTTCATGTTGTCAGACTAACGCAAACAAGAAGTTGCAGATTCTAACAGTTATGATAATAGATCCTTTCAAACCATACAAAGGACAGTTTAATAGAGATACATAGGCAAGAGGTAGCTTTCATTTCACTGGTGTTGTAAAATCAGCCAAAGCCTGGCAAGTAAACAGTTAAATTTGCTTGGGTCTCTGTAGCTGTTATGGAGGGCTAGAGGTTGTATTTTTGGTTGGGGGGGGGGCTTTATTTCCAGTCTGGGGGCAGAGAACAGAAACTGATTTTTTTCCCAGACTGAGGTCAACACTCACTTTGCTTTGCCCCATCATGCTAAGTGCTTGCTCCCATCTGAAGTCGGAGGGATGTGTCATGTATAATAGGCCAATGGCATGTGTCCTTAAACAGCACGGGGCATTTTTTTATTTTACTGCTTGTAGAGCAAGAAGTGATAAAAATGGTCAGCCTAGGCCATTGCCTGCCTTTAAACTTGCCAGTTCTCATGAGAGAGCATTTAGTATGAATTAATAATTCATAACAATAGGCTCTTCAAAACAAATTAGGAGGTATAACGGAAATGCGTTGTGGCTTGCAGAAGTGGCCAGAGCTTCTACAAAGAGCATGGGCGAAACTCTCCCTAGCGGATTCATTTTAAGATGTAAAATATAAGGGTTGAAGATGATAAAAGACTTCAGCATTTAAGTGATGTTAACTCTGAAGATAACATCCCTATGATGTTACTTGCATAAGAAAAGAGCTTTGTCGTGTCTAATTGTTATGTACATAGATGGTTTTTGTTGATAATTGTGACTAACAGTGTGAGTAGCGAAGTTACTTTCAGTCATCCTTAAGCCATGTTGAGACAGCCTTCGAGCTTATTTTCTGAGGGACCAATTCATCAGTCACAGTCCAGAAAAGTGCATGTGAAAGTTTTATGCCAAAGGTTGTGCAGAGTACAGCAGGTCACGACTGTGTAATTGGTAATTCAGTGTTTCTACAGTACTTGCAAACACACGTAACTACACACATGCATACTGTGAGATAGCCTGTCATAAATACGGAACATATAAAATTAATACTGAAGAGCACAAGAATAGCATTATTACAGAATTAATGCAAACTGTACAGTGAATCCTGGTTTCTCTGAAAGAAGGTACATTCTTTGTGATTTTAAAGAGCAGGGGTTATTAATTCCTGTCGGGATGTTCTGTATGTGTGAGGTATCTCAGTTTTGAGTTCCAAGTGCCTCCCGAGTACGGAGATTTGTGTTACTTCCTGTTTTAACAGCAGAGAACGGGAGACACCTGCTTGCTGTTTGGGGTCTCTGTGCAAGCCCATTGAACGATCGCGCTGTTTTCATTTGTTATTCACTGTGTGCATGCACATCACTGAGCTGACAGATTTTCTGCCTCTCGTTCCCTTGGTCATTTTTATTTGGTTTTTGTGTGCCTCTGTCTCTCTCTCTCTCGTTGTCTTAATACCTTCCTGCTGATTGTTTCCCTCAAGCCCACTCTCTCCGTCTCTCTGTGTACAGCTAGCTCTGGCAGATGAGCAGAGTGAAGTGACCCGAAATGGCTGTGAAGCAAAGGAGCTGGTGTACCTGGTGCAAATTTGCTGTCAGGTAGGCGTCAACAGGCTAATGGTACTCCTCTGTCCTTTAAAACAGACATGAAAGTGAAACATACTGTATTGCACATCTGAGAGTTTCATTATATAAGTTTGAGCTATTTCACATTTCATTTTCAGAGCTAGACGTTTTGGGGAATATTCGTGCTCAATCTGCAGATCAGCAATACAGCTTACATTGTTTTTAATATGCATTCTCCCAGTGAGAGGTAAAAACCTTTTGTAATATCCAGCACATGTTGTTGGCTTATGGCAGAGCCCACAGCTCGTAAAACCTGAACTGATCTCATCTTAGGGAATAAAACTAATCTATTGGCTTTCAAAGACAATGTGTTGCATTCAGAAGTTTCAAAACACAGTCTACAGACAGGTGGGTAGGCTTCTGTGATTAAGATGAAGTGCTTTTACACTTAAGACATGACATTGATTGTGTTATGTATAGTGCATACAGTATGGTCACCTATCTGTTATCAGATGAATGTCAGCAACATCCAATAGGACTTTTCTTCACAGAAATGTAGAAGGTCTACCTGCCCCCCTGATGTCTTTCATTAGTACAAGAGGGTGCACACAGAGCAAAAGAGGCCTGGGAGTGATAACTTCTGTATAATTGTTAGTTACCAGTAGACAGACATTCGAGAGTGCATAATTACAATTAAGTGACAAATAACCAAAGATTCAAAACTGAAACTGAAGCCGTTATGAAACGATAAATTCACATGGGAAACAGGAAGTTTGTGTTGGGGCATTAGGGTAATTTGCTTAATCCAGCAAGCTTTAGTGGTGTCATGTTGCTGGGAAAATGCAAATTACAGCACAAATCAGATCTACCAAAGGAGAGAAAACAAACATTGAAAGGGGCCGTAATTCAGAACACTTTACCTAGCGTCAACAGGAGTATGCAATTATAGTTTGTAGGTTTCTCTATGTAGTAGAAAACAAGTGATAGAATGAATGATGCCTTATTGTTATCAAATAGAATGCAGTGTTGTAGTTTCTCCTACTATTTTGTTTACATTATGCGTGTTAATGAACACTAGGGGACCTAAATAGAATGGGACAATAAATTCACAACCGCTAATAAGTCAGTATTTTATTTTACAAATGTATCATCTCTAAAACCTCAAGACTTGGTGGTGTTGTTTTTAAGTATCCTTCATGGTATCTTGGTCCGAAATCTGACATTAAATATCTCAGTGAGAGAGGAGCTGCTTATAACCACTTCCTTGCAGATCCCACCACTCCTGTTCATAGCTTCTAAAGAGGCTCTTTACATGCTGCCTGTAACAGTGAAAGTAAAAAGCCTCCCAAACACAAAAAATACTAAGCCTTTAAGGGGGTGTGACTAAGTAAGCATACTTGCAAATGGGCTTATCGTTTAATGTTTCACTTGACTCCAGCACATACTTCCTTCTCTGCATGTTGAATGCATTTTCACATTAGCAGTAATAATGGGTAAAAGAATGCCTATCTTTTGCATTATGTTTGTCTGGCTGTCAACTTTGGCATGCTTTGAGGTCGATAGATTGGGTGGGGCATAGAAAGAAAGGAGAAATTACTCTTGTGTTCAGGCCCTGCAGTTGAAATTCTCTGCCGGATCATACCAGAGATTCACACACCAGGAACATTTTTAAATCTAGACTTCAGACCTATTAATACAATTTGCCTTTCAGGTTTTATATTGATATTTTATACCTGAATTAAGTCTTATATCTCTTCATGCAATTTTTGTTCAACTTTTTGAATGTATCTTTTTCCTCTGTATCATTGTCATCTGTTGATTTTATTTTCTCAATCTTTTTTTTTTGTTGATTTCTTCCTATTTAACATCATGTGGAAAGTGTCTTGAAACCTGTGGCATGGAGGTCACAACAGAAGTAAAGTTTGTATTGTGCTGCATGTGTTTCAGGAGCATCTAGTGTAATAGGAGACTCATTCCCAGTGAGGGAATTGAACTTGTGAAGAATCGTATGGTGTGTTTCCGCCTCTCTGTTGCCTTGGCTGCAATTGAGAGAGTTCTCTCTTGGCACCGCGGAGCAGAGGAAAATAATGTTTTACAGTCATGTTGGTGACTGCTGAAAACAGCCACTTTAGAAAAAAAAAGTCGTGAGACACACACTTTAAAAAAAGGCAGCTAAACCACAGGCACAGTAAGTAATAGCTCTCTCTTTTGAAATGGTTTTGTTTTTTGGAAACCCTCATGTGAGAAAAAATGTGAAGAAAAAAAAACAATGGAAAACTGACATGGAAAACGTTTTTTTCGAAGCTGATGGTGAAAGAAAGGACCAAGCATTGTAAAATGTGTTGGAAGCATTTTGAGAAATTTCAAAGCTGAGATCTGCAAGACAATTTGAAGGAACAATTCAGATCGCTGAAAAAAACACATCTCTCCCAAAGTAAGATCAATAAGAATAGAAGCAATGAAGCCAAACTTGCATGTTTGAAAGTGCAAGTCTCCCACTGACATTCACAAGACCAAGAAACCATTTTCTGGAAAACAATTGCTGTACTTATGCACATGTTCCCGTTCATGAAGGTTCGTTAGAGGTTCAGTAATCCATGTTTAGCAGCAATTAAAATACAAAGCAATGCAAACGTTCGTGTAATAAGTGGGATTACTCTGCTCAAGGACCAAGGCAAAGGAAAACAGGGAGAGCAGTACAGTCGGAAGGGGCACTGAGGTGCAGTACGATACACCGGAGACCACAGGGGGTTGTATCTGGGTATCAGCCGCTGCTGTAAAATGGGTCTGGAGCTGGGAAGCTGGACAGCCGCCAGAAACACGCTGATTATTTTAATGCAGGAGGGAGATATCAGTGCGGAGCTCAGGGAATCTCGTTAGCCCACGCCGCTCAGCTCCTGGGCTGCAGGCGGAGATAGGAACGTGGAAATCAATACAGCCGGCATGCAGCCACATTGATTGCCGGCTCCGGGAGTGCTGGGGAAGATTAAAAACAACCGCTGTGGACTTCCCTTCGGTCCCCCTCCTCCTCCGGACGGAGAGAAATCTCAAAGAAAATATGTTCTGGAAAAAAATATTTTAGATATCGACTGCACTGTTTCTGACAACAAATATTGGAAATTTGTATTGACTTCCGGTTCCAAATCAAATGGATGACACTGTTTTTGAAGGTATTTTGATGGATGGACTCTGAGCCTCAGGAGGACCATGCAGTATCACTATGTACGCATACACGTCTTTAGAAAAATCAAGTGTATTGTAAGTGTTTTGAATATTAAGATAATGTCTGACAGCGTTAATCATTGGATGCCCTACCCTCCAAGGACAATGCATGATGGATGTAGGGCTCAGAGACCAGTGAACAGGCAGATCCTTGTCTAGGATCAACGAAAGGGAAGGAACAGAATCCCCTAACACAGCTTCTGCAGCCCGGTGCAAAGCATGTTACAGGTGCTCAGCTTGTATCCCTTGCAGTGGTGGACACATACTGTATGCTACAGCTTGCAACTTTCTGTGTAGACCCCCTGTCAATGAATGCTGTTGATAACAAGTGTTAATCAACGGACCGAATTTGCCTTTGTGCAGTTCATTCAATATAATGTCAGTGCATCTGCTACACACAGGATTTTGTAATAACCTAGTTTATAACCCGATAATAACCTAGTTTGTTTCTGTTTTAAGTGGTTTCTTTTAATGATGAGTACTGTACATATTCAACATGCATAAATTGGTGTTTACCTATAATGTATCTAAATGTAACTGGTAAATACAATTGAACATGTATGGTATGTATGACATGTACTGCATTATATTTTCAGTCTTTTTCACAGTCTTTGTGGTTTCTCTTCCGAACCTCCTCGCCCAGTTTGTCTCTTTTCATTCTTTACTTTAAAACAGACTGAATCATTCTCTTTAAGGCTGCCTTTTTTTCAAAAAAAGTTTATTTTTTAGTTCGAAATCCTTACAGCACAGCTGAATTAAGGCTAATGGGCATATTTATGCTTTTAAAAGACATTTCAGTCTTCCCCTAGGTTGGCATTAAAAGGCAACCAAATGTTTAAGGAGCTTACAACATGCTTTTGAGGTGAATGGAAATTTGGAACACAACCACACTGGCATAAAACAGGAGATATTTTGGGAATATATACCCATGTCACCTTGATAAAGTTTGCCATGATGTCACTTTAGCTTGCCTTGTGTGCAGCAACCTTTGTGTAGATTGTCCTGGTGGTACTGGTCCCCAATCCTAATTTGATTTCCTGCAGCAAGCTCTGCAGAAAGGAAAATAATAAATTCCAAGGTATTCCTGTCACAGCTGTGCATCAAGAAAGCATGTAGGCATTTAGATTGCCACTATTGACTGCTATAAATTATGGATTGCACTATGAATAATATCAAATGAAAAGAAAACACATCTACTGTACCTCTAAGCCAGCGCTCCAGAAGCTGAGAAGGACAGGCAAAACAAGAAAGTCAGGAACGGCTTTTCAAAACTGTTTCTGCTTCTATATCAGGTTCATGTTTATTTAAAGCCTACAAGGAAAAACATAAACGTGCTTTAAGGTGTCAAGATTCTGGCTAGCTGGGTTCGAGTTTGTAGCACACGTACACAATGGAACAGATAGCAGGTTTATTCCATGCTGACACAGCTACCTACCTGAAGCACGTTCACCGTGTACTTCACTCTGCAGGGTTCATAACTGTAAAAATAACCAGACAAATGGTCCAGGAATTCCCCTGTTTACTCTTTCAAAAAATATTTGGTTTGTTATTACTAGTGAATTACTAGTGAATGTTAATGTCTGTGCTGATGTGCCTCTATAGTTAGACAAGTGCGTATCGGGATAGGTGCCTCTAAAACAGAGCAGTAATAACAGTTTCCTTGAGTTGCTGTGAATATGTTCAGCGGTAACATTGTGCTAGAAAAAATCGATCTTTCAGCTGTCACTTAAGACTATGAAGCTCTTGGTTTGTATTGTATGACACCTTCCCATTCACAACCACGTTTTATGAGAACCCTTTTTTTCTCAGCCTGTCCCAAATGAAATATGTACATATGTACTGTATGAAGTCTGTGAAAACAATTGTAACTTGGAAAGACACCACAGGAACTACGAACTCTGCAAGGAGATCAACTTTAACAGCTTTTCTGTTTTTTGAATAATGGAGTATGTGTCTGGGTGGGGATGAGGTATAAGCTGCTGTAAAGCTCCAATAAAACCTATTTAAATTGACCAAGAGGGATATATATCATTCTGTTACTTTTTGCTTGTAAAATATATACATGATGTTACCCTCCTGTGACTTAAGATGTGTGAAGTAAATAAAATAATGACAACAATGTGTGTAGACTCATTTATTCTGCAACAATAGAATCTTAACAGTTTGAACAACAAATAATTAGTACTCTGGTGTTAACTTTTCTCGAGGGTCTTGAAAGGAGGCCATTTTTTGGCCCATTTGATAGTAAGTAGTTGATCTCTGGATTTCATCTAGTCATTTCTTAGAAGAGACCAGGGTATTTGCTTCAGCAACATGTCTGTGTAGCTTGTTTCGTACTCCCACAACCCTTTGGCTGAAGATGTGCTGGGTTTCCTCCATTTTAAACGGTGGCTCTTGCTGAAGGGCCCGCCGGGTCAGCCAAGTCCCTCGGTCAGAATGCAAAGAGGGGCACCGTGTCGGGTAGTTCCTTCACCCACTGATCTGTGTTTCTCTCTCTTTCTGTGTCTCAGGGACGGAGCTGGATTGTAAAGCGCAGTTATGAAGATTTTCGGGTCCTCGACAAGCACCTCCACCTGTGTATCTATGACCGCCGCTTCTCTCAGCTTCCCGAGCTGCCACGATTCGACAGCCTGAGGGACCGAGCAGAGGTGGGGCCAGATTCCTCTGACCGTGTGACGGTTTGACCAGGGCACTAGTTCTCATACCGCATTGGTCAAATCCTGAGGAGATGAGGAGCTGTCTGAATACTGCTGTCTGTTTCTGTGTTACATGATAAAATTCCTTCCTCATCTGGAGGAGAAACATAAAGCAATTTAAAAGTGTCCATAAAGCTATAAAAATACAACATGGAATAAAACATATAAAACTACATACAGCACAGTGAAACATATTTTACAAATATGTTAACAAACCCAAATGCATACTTTAACAAATATTTATTATATGAGAAACATGTGCCAGCGTCTTCTTGAAGCGTAACAGTTTTCGAATTGCCATTCGATATATTTTGAAATGTATAACATTATAGATTTTTTCTGTACGAATGTTCTCTGCTTCTACAGTATATGCTTCCACATATTTGCAAACAAACCCAGCATCATTTCTTGTTACTCTGGACACAGAATTCTCCAGAGCTGTTTAACAAGGCAGCCTTGTCGACAGTGTCGTACAATTGGTTTCTTCTCAAGTCGGAATTAAGTTTAAAAAAAGATGAAAATGTAATATGTGGTTTATGGTAAATAAGCACATTTAAGTATGATGGTTTTTATTGCAAGTGGATTCATTGTTTCCATATCACAGCTGTACTGCGAAAGTGACAACTTTGTTTTTTATCTCAAAGGCCAGCCCTGTCCTCAGTGTGACAGTTGTGTTTCTTGCTGCTTTAAGAATGAACCCCAATGCCTTGCAGAAATGAAAGGAAAACACATAAAGTATTTGAACAGAAGCTCACTAGTGCCCCCGTAAGCATTGATAGGTTCTGATGAGTACATAGAGAAAGAACAGATGGACAGCTGTTAAATGTGAGGAGACTAGAGCCATTTTTAATTCTAGAACTTCTCAAAGTGGAACAAACTAAATTTTATAATCAAAATGTGATTGTTTCCATGTTGTAAGTAGCACTGCTTACCTGATTGAGCAAATGATTGATTTAGGTCAGTGTTCTCATTTGAACTGATGTATTACTTGCTTCTCAGTGTTCTGTCACTGTTGTATACATGTATCGTGAGCTCCTTTTTTATCATGTCTGATGTTTTATACGCTTAGGTATATATATATAACTCTCCTATTTGTTTTTTCAATAAGCGTGTGACACATTAGGTCTTTTGAATATTTCAGCTACAAAATCTAACAGCTTTGGAGAATTGAGTAGCCATTAATTCCTGCTGTAATGGATAATAATGTAAGCCTCTCAGTGTTTAATTAGAGCACCTGGGATCTCTAGCTCAGAGCTCCTCTATTTAATCATGTCTGCTGTGCTTTGATGCTACACAGCCTATGGAACAGAGTGTCAGGGGTAAAGTGAGGAAGTGATTGAAATCTGTCGTTCCTCACTTACCTAGAGTTCTGTACTATATTGTCTTAAGTGTTAAAACACATATTTAAGGAAATCAGAGGAAGAAAAACAAAAGGCGTACTTTTCCCCCCAAAGACCATGTGTTGAGGTCATTTCAGAATAAGTACAGAATGTCCAGTACGGCTTTCTTAAATATGTTATTGTCCTTGACTGAATCTGACATTCTGGCCATCGTGACTTTTGGACAAATCTGCACGCACCATCTGCAAAACCCACATGTCATCAGCTTCTTTTAATATGGCTCTTTACATGTGAGTGACCGAGCTATTTTTATGGCAAAATGATGCCCATATCAAAGGGCCCCGTGTTGTTGCTGCAGTCTGTTGGCCTGTCCACTTCAGTGTGCTGCAGGACCCAAGCTGTTAATCCCATTCTTGGCAAGATTAAAACTGGAAAATGACATCACTGGCTAGCGGGCCCATTACCTCAGATGACACCCACACATTACACGGTGGTTTTTTATGTTTATTATCTCACTTTCGGGGGCCGAGCCAGACAAAGGTCAGATCAGTTGTCAGATGACAGGTCACGGGTTATTCCTACCACTATACCGTGTTACTGTGCTCAGCTGTGGTACTAGAGTACCTTACATCTTGTTCGGAGCCATTGTAGTAGGTGACAGAAAAGCACATAAATGCACATTTCCTGGGCATAGTAGCCACATCATCTCAGCTTCCATTAAAAAGATAAGGTTTCTGACGGTGCTGATACAAGCCCACACAGGTATGCATGTAGACAAGAAGCATGCATGAACTTTGTGTAAAGCAGTGGAAGGGTAGGGGTGAGGGGGGCAATAACTTTCCTATTTTACACTGCCTGGGGGGGGGTAAATGGCTTTGCCACTTTAGTGGTGACTTTTTTATATAATATTCTCTGTAAGGAAACAGCTTTTGTGCCTGATCACAGTGTTCTCGGGTGAAAATCATGGATTCATTAAAATCTGTAATCGATTAGGAACCAGTTGAGAAACTATTCCAAATTAGTTCAGCCCAGGAATTGCTTTAACCCTCCACCTTTGCTGAACTAAAATAGGGTTTTCAGGTTTGTATCATAGTCATTGTCATCACAGCCCCTGCCATTCCCGTACCTGCTTCAATGTCTGACGTTTTTGCTGAAAACAGTTGAACATCTTACTGAGAAAAAAAATGAGAAACTGTTGCCTTGGTTAAAACCTCAGATTTGCCCATGAAAAGGCTGAGATGTTACTTGTCAACGAGATCTGTGTCCTTCAGTGGAAAGACAGGTCTCTTTTAATCCTGCTTGCATTTCAAAGGGGCTGTGTGTGCACTTTGGAGACTTGACTCGAGTCAGTAGGATGTGATGGACAGTGTCTCACACAATGTCTCTGCCGTGGAGAGACACAAATCCCGATTACATGAATCGGTGGTCTGCGGATTATCACAAGGAAATGGGAAAGCCCTGTGGGAAAGCTTGCATCCATGCCAGACCTTTTATCCTCAAAGACACTCCCATAAGGAGAAACATGGAAAAGCCAATGTACCCGTTTTAATTAAAAAGGATGTTTTTTTTCCCTATATAATTACAATTCAAGGGGTTATAAACTTACCTTATCCACAATTGTTTGCTAAAAACAGATTAGTTACAAATATGTCTTCTTGTACTCTGAAGGCAAGACCTTCACATACTGCAATTTGCATAACTTGCACTTCATTGAACATTCATTCGGTTACACTTGCTTTTCATTTTTAGGGCTAAATTGTTTCAAAGCTAAGTACCTACACATGTACTGTAATTGATGTGGAAATAGGCTGGTGCCCAATGATAAGCCTCTCTGGTCTGCTCCTCCAATAGCTCCGTCTCATAAGTAGCTGTACTTTCTAATCTGTTTCCACTGGAGCATTTAATTCTCCAGTGCGGAGGCATCCTTAGTCTCATTCAGCCAATGCTAAAATATAATGAGCTTTTTTAATAGATGTTCTTGATCTAGAGAGCTAGCAAGTTCCAATGCAAGAAGCAAGCGCTACATTTTTGTAACATTACGGCACTACAAATGATTTACAGATGCTCGCTGAGGTAAATCGGCAGATTATGGAGACAAAACTACAGGCTACCACTCACCAGGACTTGTCCCCGAATTTGTCCTCTGTGGTTTTATTCCACCTGTCAGGGCAGTGAAGGAACAGTTCTGATCATTTAAGTCTGACATTTGTGAAATGGTTAAAATTACCATAGCGACACCACCAAGACTCCCAAACACAGACAGCTTGAATCCCTTTTAAATTGTCCTTGCTAATTCAGTATCAAAATCTAAAACATTGACAGTCATTGACAATATTGTCAATTTCTTGACAATAAAACAAACTGAGTGGCATACCCCATAATGATTAATTACATTGTTATGTGCATAACATTAATAATGACTATTTTTAATTAATAGTTAAGAAATCTAAGCCCTTACAGTACCAGGCTAAAGCAAATAAAATGACATTTCAGCTAAACAAGACCAATTGCAGAGCCTTTAATGTGCAAAAAGCTCTTGTCTGCAAACATGGCCAATCCATTTCCCTTAAATTGCCTTTGCAGCGTGTACATTAGGACTAATTCTCACAGATTTGAGAAATGAGCTGAGAATCTTCAGCAGCAGAGTGAGGGTGGTACAGTAGATTTGTGGAAGAATCAAATTTAGAATAATGCTTGAAACCATTAGAGCAAAATCTGTATTCCAGGCCTAGGTGTTTATCTGTGTAGGAGGCTTAGTACCTTCCTTATAGACGGTGCTCATATTCAGCACAACAAGCAGTGTGTGAGCTGATGCACCCCACATGCCTTCAAGCGTCAGCTTAGGATAAAAAAACATGCTGAGGAATGGATGAGATCTCATGCACCTTGGCCAGCTCGCAGATTGAACCACGTAAACAAAAGTCTGCCGCACAGCCCCTGCTGTTAATAACTACAAACTAGGAAATAAACAGAAAAAAGGTAGCTTTTCCCAGAGCATGGACCTGCAGTAATAAGTTAACAGGATGAGAAGAGTTCACAATAGACATTTCACACCGAAGCCATGTACTGCTAATGACATCCTCATTAAAATTGATTAAAAAACAAACATGTGCTTTATTGAGAATTACTTGTAATTTATGCCAGCAGTTTATTGGATTTATGCCAATTATATAAACAACCATGCCCACCTGGGCTTATGGTTCCATTCAGCTTTGTCTAATCAGCGTTTTCCATGCAGTCTCTGAGAGCTGGAGCAGTAATGGTGAAACCGGACTGGGCAGGTCAGATGAAAGAGGTCGCTGTTTCGTATTATGGATGATAGATGGAATTAAAAAAAATCCCATATGGACTATTCCACACCCCCACCACTCCCCCCTGAGCACACAGTATACATCCACACAGGCAGACGTTCACAAACACATCAATGGTAGTACACCTCTTAATATTAATTTCCTTGGAGAAATGGAGCAGCTCTTCACTAATCCAGTCAGCTGTGTGCAAGGCGGCATTAATTGTCTAAATCTGACAGTGTGCATTCTGAGGGCACATGGCCATGAGTATCTTAATTGTCTTTTTAAAACGTGCTGAAAATGTTAATTTAGATGTTTCTGTCTGTCTACCTCATGAGAGGTAAACATGTATAACCAATACCTTGTTTGAAAGAATATTTGAACCAAGGCTGCTGTTTTTGTCATTTCTTTTTTTTTTGTTTTGCCTGAGAGATGGACTTCTGTAGCCAAAGGCTGCTGGTGGAATGGAGATTATTTGCAGTTAAAAGGGTGGTTTTAAAAACAAAAATTACATGAAAAATGTATAAAGCAGGAAAGAACCAACAGTTGCTGTTAAACATTATTTCGATTTGGATTCAAGGATGTGATCTTATGAAATATCTGACAGAAGTGGGGTTTTTTAAAATAAAACTAGAGTTAACAGTACCCAGCCCAGACATTAAAGAGTAAATTTAGCAGGCTTGATAAATTACAGTGACAAGTGCAGATAAATTATAGCGACGACAAGATGACTCAAAAGTTATATAAAGTTCTTAAATGCTTATTTTTTAATAAGAGATTTGCAGCGGTGCTACTTTCAACAGCCAGATACTTGATTTAAAATTAAAACAAATGTGAGGCTATACTTTTTTCTAACGTTCTCTGTTTTTTTTTTCCCCCACAGGCAGTTTCCCAAATGCTGATGGCTTACCTCTCCCGCCTCTCGGCAATCGCAGACAACAAAATAAACTGCGGCCCGGCGCTCACATGGATGGAGGTAACCGGCATTGTTTGTTTGTTTTTTCTCCAGCTTTCAGTGGAGCAATTTGTTCATTTGCTATGACAGCAGACCATCCAGAAGCCAGCTTTGTATTGACATCTGAACAGGCCTGACCCATCGGTTGTCTGTGCACTTTGAAAGTTGTGGTAATGGGATTTAATACTTTGGTCCAGGGGGAGCAGCAGAGAGAGGCTTTTTACAGTGCCGAGCAAGAGCATGTGTCTTGCTGTGCTTCAAAAGGGGCGCAGTGAGAATGAAAGAGAGTGAAAGTGAACTTTGAAACTTTCGACGGGAAAGCACATGACGCAGAGCAGGAATACACAGCGATCGTCAGAAAAAACCGAGCTGCTGGGAGCCACGACATGGAACCTGAACCAGCGCGAGAAATCGCCATTCCCCTGTCGCAGTTAAGGAGCTTCTCTTAAACCCGAACCAGAAAACAATGGAAAGAATCCGTAGACTTAGAGATCGTGCTGTGGTGGGTTAAATGCTTTCGGTACAGCAGGCAGATGAAACGTTTGCTGGCACTACACAGTAATTACCTGATCTACAATAAATGTTCTCTTTTCCCTGTGCACAAACAAGAAATCGACAACCAGGACCTCAGTAGCGCTTGCAGTCTTTAGTGTCTTTATACATAATGAATGTTAAATCCCAGGTTCTGACTACAGTGGGATTTTAAAACTCACCAAGCCCCCGGGGTTGGAGCTCAGACCAGCAGGAATCAATAAAGCCGCGCCTGTCTAAATTGCCCTACTTCAGACTGAGTTTTAAAGGGCAAGAGGGCTGTTTCCTTCCCTTGATCCTTTTTTATCTTTTATTGCCGCACGTCGCAAAAGAGAATCCAAATGAACAGAATTGTTCCTCGGCTGAACTGATAACCCCATTATATACAGTACTGCTTGAAATACAGTAAAAGAGTTAGGAATGATGTTCTGAAATTGCAGTATTAACGAGGCAAAAAAAAGTAACCAGTGTTTTGATTTCTTCAGATAAACTCTCAGTATGATGTCCAAAATCAAAATGTTTTTTTTTTCCTATACTGAAAAGATAGACGGGGCAACATATCGTATGGAAATGTGATGTGATAGAGAGTAATGGCAATTGCACGTAAACGCAGTGCAAAACATTTTTATTTCTCAGGAAATAATCCAAAGATTTCCTTTGGATTTACTCCTCCATATTTACTTTCTGTTATTCTTTAGTATCTTGCAGTGTGCAGTCACAGTTTTACACAACTGGACATGTCTTGTCAATTGATTGATGAAGTCAATTTGATTGACTTTTCCTACTAGATTGACAACAAGGGGAACCATCTGCTGGTGCACGAGGAGTCCTCCATCAATGTCCCCGCTATCGCGGCAGCTCATGTCATCAAGCGCTACATTGCGCAGGCCGCAGACGAGCTCTCCTTTGAGGTAATTCAGGCAGCCGGTGTCCCGGTTAACTTGTGGTTTTGCATGTCCTGTCTGGGATATATTGTGCATCAGGAGCTGGATAGGCCGCATGGCCCCCTCTTGACTGGAACCTTTCTTGTGATCTTATGCTGTTGACATGAATGTTGCCCATTTGTAACCATTTCAAGAAAGAGAAGAGTAAAAAATAGTCTGTATGTGCCAACCTCAATAACTTGGGTGTTGATAATGATTTAAATAGTGTAAAGTTTTACTTCTGTGCAGAAACTTGGCTTTGTTCTACTCATTTCATGTTATCATGCGAAAACACAATTCTGTGATGAAAATGTTAGCCGTTTTGTGATAAGCTTATAGTTCTTCATGATGGATCTTTTTAGGACCAGACATCCTTTTAGCTTTATTAATGTGTAGAGAGGAACAGATAATGTAAACGACCAGCAATACCCGTTAATGAGTCATTGAGTGTTGATTGGCTGCTCTTGTGTCGGTTACCTGGAGCTGTTATGATCTAGGTTTTGAATATTCAGATAAATATGAATTAGAGATTGCTTTAATAACCATAATAGCTGCTACAATCAAACAGTAGCTGTGACTTCGAGTAAACTTAAATGTTTTAGAACTCCTGATTGTGTGCAAGAAGTACAGGATTTTTTCAAAATGGTGTATTGTACATGAACAACATTAGAATTAAACAGATTTTAATCTTAAAAAGCTGAGTTTGTTGTATTTAAAAAAGGAACTGCTTTTTAGATGCACACTAATAACAGTCTGCTGGTGTGTCCTGTCAGTGCTGCATATTTAAAGTGAGGAGGTAAGATTCACAGGTGTGATTTTTTTCTTGGAGGACAAAGATAATTTAGCCTCCTTTTCGTCCTGTCCCTGTGTCAGGTGGGAGACATTGTTTCTGTGATTGACATGCCCCCAAAAGAGGACACCACATGGTGGAGAGGAAAACACGGTTTCCAGGTATGTTCTGTTCTACCATCTCACAGGTTTACTGGCATGGAAAACAGTTGTATGGATACGGTGACATTTAGGTAGCAAACATTTTGCTGAATTTGGTTTTTGTGTACATGGAACGTTGTGGTATTTCACATGAATTGAGTTTCTTGCACTGAGGCAGAATGGAGCTGAAGGGTTTAGCTGTGTTGTAAACGTGCTCTTTTCTTTTGTCTTTGAGCCCTTGTGTTACAAACATACTGTTAACCTCTGGTGACAGCTCAGCCACAGTCAAGCCTGTTGTATTTCATTTTCTCACATTTGATTCTTCAGCAGCTTTTGGGAGCAACACAAGTCAGATCTATCATATTTATCCATTCTCTTGTAAAATTCTCAGAGGCTAAAAATGGTCTTTAAAGAGAAAATTGAACACGCAGGCAAGACCAGATGCCTTAGGTGTGTCTGTTCACATTTTGCCTTGCAGATACCGGGCATGACAGACTCAGTGCATGTACAGGACAGAGGCAGGTCAGGCACACTAGCTCAGAGCTGAAGGGAAAACGTATTTTTCCTTCAGCAGGCCTGTGATCAAAGTACTGGTGCCCACAGATACCAGAGAAGATTGGTACTTATTAAGAGGCTGCTATATAGACTGTTTGGAACTTTTTGTTTTTAATGGATAATTAGGGGAGAGTCGGTTTTGTTATAGGCAGAAATAAGATTTCTAGATTTACAGATAGTTTTAAATGTTTTTCTAAGCTGTGAAATTAACAATAGAGATACAGAGTTTTTAGCAATAACTTATGAAGTCATCCTTTATGGATGTATTTTTAGTTTTTTAGTTGATTTGAGCAATGTTCTTAAAACGTTTTTCTGGATCTCTTGCGTGAAAACAGATTCAAGCTTCGTAAGGTCTGTAACAGTTTCTTTCAAGAAATTGAACAGGCTTTCTGTGTTTGGTACATGCAGGAGTGGTGAATGTTTCCTGAAAACTGGGCAAGAGCTTAGCCTTGTTTCTTACATTATCCGTTCAGAAAGTCAGTGAATGCCGTGCACCAGACTGGTCCTGTGGCACATGACAGAGATTAAGTTGGAGTAAAAATGGTGCCAAGTAGATTTCCCTTCAAAGTCTCTCAAAATCTGCAGATTTGGGTCTGGGCCAGCGCTTTTATCAGCAGTATCAGTCTACAGCACGCAACGAGTAAACCAGCCAAAAGCTTCAAGCTAAGACTCTCAGCCTTAAAAGTTTGCTTATCCTAGACCTAGAGGATTCTGCTGTGTTGCCCTTTTTACAGATGTGGGCTTTAGGCTTTGTGAAATTGGCTCGAGAACTATTAGAAAACTGCTGATTAGAAAGATAGTTCACGTTTAGGCAGCTACTGAGATTCCTCTAACAATGTGGTTGCCATCTCACAATAGACTCTTGGACAGAGGATGGGTTTTTTTTTACAGCGCCACTCTAGCAATATTAATATTTATCAGTTTGATAGATGCCTTTATCTGACATATAACAGGATTAGAAAATGAGGACAATTCTAAAAATAATAAAAAATGTAATAGGAAAAAAGCTAGGGAAGGGTCCAATGTTAATTTTGTTAAAAATAAATGATCATTGTATTTTCATTTTAAAAGAAAATGGTGCGAGAATAGGAATAGGATTTATATTCATATTTGCCTGTAGGGGCATTTTACAAGGGAAACAGGGTTACTGGTTGTTCTACCGTCAGTAGTTTGTATGAATCGAATAAGCGGCCTGGCATAACAATACTGTCCTTTATGGAACTTTACATTTATTACAAGGACTACTTTACAAGTCATGCTCCAGCAGACATCACCAGTTCAAGCCAGGCCATAGGTGAGAACAGGATTACCCAAGGGGGAGAGCTGAATTGTCTGAGTGCCAGCAGTGCGTGGTGGGCTATAGTCATCCAGTATCCTCTGAGCTGACAAAGTACCAGTGATCCCTAATTGGCACTTGAAGGCTTTCAGCAGTGTCAGGGAGAGATGTATGCTTCTGCCGTTGGAGTAACTGTCTTGTTAGGCGCTGTAACCCCACAACTTGTCAGAAGATGAATGGCTCTGTAGGTCGGCCTGTCAGAAACACATGTCTTCATGTCTCATTCTCTCCTCAACATAGCAAAGCTTTTAATCCTACAGCCAGGTAATAAACAATTGGAGAGTCAAACCTGGACAGACATATAAATAAAACAAACCATTTTCTACACTTCCAATATTGTATTCTAACATCTGGCTCTTGTTTTAATTTCCAAACTTTCTTTTTCCCTTTCTCTCCCCAGGTTGGCTTCTTTCCTAGTGAATGTGTGGAACTAATAAACGACAAGGTTCCTCAGTCAGTTACCAACTGTGTGCCAAAACCAGGTACCGTATGGTCTTTCAGTAAAAAATTAACTTTCCTACGATGCAAACTTACTAAACAGACACCTCCTCTGGGAAGGAAAAGGTCCACTTAACAGGATTAAAAGGAATTTAAACTAATTGAATAGTGCAAGATTGACTTGAAGGGCTGGTGCCCTCTGAAATTTTCTGTACTTTATATACTATGTATTGTATCATTATCATTAATATTAATTCAGCTCCAAAGATTTTTGTATTTCAATATTTTTTTTTCTCTCTAAGTGAGATTGTGCAGTATAATTCAAGTTGTATTTTAATGTTATGGTTCAGAAACAGAATGGCATTAGTTTGATGAAAGATGTTAGACACACATTGAACTGGTTTGGGCAAATGAGAGAAGGCCCAAGACTGACCAGGTTCTCTGTTTGGATATCTAATTTTGCTGTGCACTTTTTACCATGTGTGCATTTGCTTTGTGAAACTAATCTTTAATGGATTACGACTAAAAAGGAAAACAACACAGGTTTAAACAACATGCATATCTTAGCAAGTGATAACATATCTTGGCAGGTAAAGCTTTCATTTTCCTGTGGCAGATTGTAAGATTGTTTTTTTAATCTGAGTTTGTGTATTAGTTTAATTGTGATTTCATGCTCTTAAAATACACCATAAATATACATAGGAAATATATTTAAATGTACATATTGTACGTACATAGGTAAACATTGGTCACCAACATACAGTATATAGTAATCCTATTCTCAAATATAGGTGGAAATAGATAAAGCTGTACCATAAAACTGTGCCTGCATGATAGCTAAGAATTGTTGGCGTTTGGATTTGGAGAACCTGTACAGGTGAATCAGAATGTTTTTACTATACATACAATGAAAGGGAGCAGTGCGATATACATGGTGTTCACAGAGCTGGAATGTAGCAAAGCTTTGGATGATATCACCATGACACAATTGTTACAGATGCTGTGCAGACTGCTGTGGCTTGTTTCTTGTGAGTTACATACTTGGCTTCAGAGAGCAAACTTAGGGGTCCATGTGGAATACAGCCCATTAAACAGCATATGGCTGAGGGACAACAGATTGAGCAAGAAGAAAAAAAAAGGCGATGTTTTGTTGATGTAAGGGGTTATCCAGAAATTGGTTAAATGATAGAAGATAAATAATGCATAAGCCCCGAATCACAAGACTTTCCTTTAAAGTAGCAGTGCACATTTTATTGTCAATTTATTGTGATTATTTGAATTTTTGTTTTTGTAACATGGTGTGCCTAGGAATAAATTGCCTTGATATAGTGTTAGGAACTTGCATCGTCCTCCAATTCTACAAGATCATGGGAGCAGGCATACTGTAGGTGCAAGAACTATCTCGGCATTTCGTTACACTCTTTTCCTGCCAAGCTTTTCAGCTCAGATCTGCTGGCCAGAGTCAGACTAAATGTTAGTCTGATCCCCCAAAGGTGAGAAGTTCAGTGTCCCCTCAGGGTAGCCTTCACATGCTTCAGAATGCTTTAGTTTCCAAAGTGGTATTAGGCAACGCTACAGCATTGCTCTGAACTTTGCTCCAGTGAGCTCAATGCTTCAGTGCATGGGCTTAAAAATGGGTTCACAATGGGAATCCCATTCAGCCTGGGTTCTGACCTATGGCTAGACTTGAACTGGTGATGTCTGGACTCTGCAGATGCCTTGCTGAGATGTGGCAAAGTTGGAAGCTCTGGATTTGTAAATGGAGGTGCCAGCAAAATTCTAGGTAGTATAAATGCTGGCATAAGCATCAGACAAATAAATTACGAATGACTGGAAACGTTCCCTCTTGCATTGGAGATCATACAGTTCTGCAGACACCTCAGATGACCTCCGCAGAGGCCTGCATGTGACCAGTGATGGTGTCCCACGGGGTTGGAAATAGCCCAAGAGCAGAACTAGTGACGTGGAAATGGACAGTAGAGTTTGATCTCTGATACTATGACCTGTGTTCAGCGTTGGAGCTACAGTAGCATGAGATTACTTGCTGGTGCCTCATTCAAACCACAGCACTCAGTGGGGCTTAAGATTGATTCCTGTTAAGAGCTTTTTATATTTTCTGAAAGGAGTAAGTTTTACTCTTGATCATATTTCACTGATAGCCGCAATGCCTTTTACATTTGCCTTGGTTGGCAGTTTCCAGTTATCGTGTTTAGAATTCAGCCTGGCTTCTCTGTTTTGCTTTAAAAACACTAAATTCATTTTTATCAAAGCCCGTGGCCCGTAGACTTAAGAAATATAACTACATGTTGAACTATCTGTTCCAGTTGTGCGCCCTGAAGTGTCTTGATGTAGATGATCTCTTACAGCAAAACCTTTAGAATCTCCAATGACCTTTTCTCTTTGGATATCTTCAAGACAGGCTGTTTTACGTCATAGAATGGTAACATTTGGTATAGGTTCTCATTAGGATGTAAAGGCAAAGAAAGTGAAACTGTAGTACTATAGGCTAAATGTGCAGTGAATCTGTTATTTACTAATGCACTGGACATTGAACTAATTATTTAAAGTTGTATTAAAATAACACAGCTTTCTGTGCAAACGTGCTGGGAACAAATGTTTTTTTGCTGCTGCCCCCTCGCCCATAGGTGTACATTGTTTTCTGAAAGGTTTTGTTTTGTATTTTTCTCAGCCAAGTCTTAAAGTATACAAATGACAAATGATATTCCAAAGAGAATCCAAAGTATGCCTGCTAGAAATTAGAAATGGACCCTTCTGTTTTGTACTGTAGGTGGTATCCCTCTACCCTGCGAGAGACTGGCATCCTGTCCAGGATGTATCCTGCCTTGTACCTTATTGCTTTCTGGGATAGACTCCAGCTCCCCTGTGACCCTTTATGGGATAAAGTAGTTAGAACATGGATATCCCTCTAACACAAGCGCTACCATTTTAACAACTGTAAATAAGATTATTAACATAGAGCTTGTCTTACCACGTAGCAGGTGATTGGAATAAAGAGATCATCTTCATTATCTTTGGAGTTCTAACTGTAAATAGCCTATATGACAGAGTGTAGAGAAAGTCCCTCAGTGTCATATTGACACTCCATTATACAGTATGAAATATTATTATGGAGCTTCTTTGTGAAAGATGCCCCTCTTGGCTAACATGTCCAGAGAGCTTTGCACATGAAAACTCCACTTCAGCACAAAGCTCCAGGCCTTGATGCTTTATGCTTGACAACCAAAACATTTCTTTGTCAATATACAAAAGATATCTCACAAGATGTTCTCCAGACACCAACCCAAACTAGTCCACAGTCTCATTGGACAACATATGCAAACCTTTATTTAGGCAAGTGACCTACTAATTAAAGCCATGTGAGAATGTGCATTACAATTATACAATTATACATTATATAGTCAATTATACAATTAGTGATTACACTCAAGTGAACTACTGTATATTACAAGTACATTACAAGTTTTTGAGGCACTATTTACTGGCCTCTAGTGGCATGTCTATGGAAGTAACTGCCCTTCAGTGGCACAGCCTGTCACATCTGCTACAGGCGACAAGTGGTGATTGAATATTTGCACGTGTGATCAATTAATGGATAGTTCTTTGAATCACATCCATCTATTAGATGTTCATTTAAAGCTCTCATCTCTTCTAGTACAGATGTGCTTGTAAAGGAAATCATCCAGAGCTGCAACAAGACTGCAACTTGGATGATCTCCAAACTTGCAGTCTTTGTTTTTTCATATCTTTACAGTGTTTGGGAAATGAAGGAAATGTTGACAGGACAGAGTTATAGACATGGATAACGTTTTAATCAACCAATTTTATTAGGCAACTTGTTGACAGCTAGGGGGAAAATTAGATGAGGATTGTATGGTTGTGAGGTGGACAAAGGACTGAACAACATGGGAACAGTTGTAGAGCATTATCCTTGTGTTACTTAGGGAATCACCATTTTAATTGGGATGAATTGTGGTGTTGGTTGCCATTTTTTTCTGAAAGCTTTAGAAACCATTGAAGCAAAATCGGTTTTAACCACATTAGACTACGTCATGTAGCTCAATTGTTTTATGATATGATTTTATGAATTTTATGATTATATGCAGCTGTGCTAAAGAATGAATTTATTGTAGGGCAATTTTCACAAGAAATGTATAAAAGAATTTAAAGGATATTGTTAGAGTTTGTGATTGCAGTGATAATATGTGCCTTTATTGAAAAATAATATAATGCTTAGAGCTGGACCTCTTACATTGATACTATATTATAAGCCGTTTCCAAGACTATTTACGTCATCTTTGGATTGCAGAGACTGTGAAACAATCAAATGTATTCAGATCTTCCACGGCACTGTTTGTCAAGTTTCCTTTCAAATGCATTCAATGTTCAATTTATTGTCGTTGGCCCCTAACGAGTGAATCGCTATGATTTATTTTTCAGCATTGGTGTGGCTTTTGGGTGTGTGGGGTAAATCATTTCAGCATGGAGAATAATGGGAATGCTGGAGGAACCAGAGAATTCGATAGCACAGGATTATATGGTTAGAAAGACCAACTTAAACGATTGCACCAGTGAGTGGTTTTAGCTGAATTCTGTCATTTCAGTGACGTTTGTTGATGCTGCTAACCATTATGTATACGAGGGGTCAAGAACAGTTGGTTTAAAACAGTGAATAGACGCCGGGGGCTTAAACTTATTTCAGCACAGCTAAGAGGATACAGCTGGCAACAGTATCTGTAACACGGGATCAGAGCTCTCTGCTAGGAAGAGCTCCTTGAGCCCTTTCCACTGCAGTGTCATTGGTGCTCCGCTCCGCACTCTGTCAGGATACAAACCTCAACTCAGTGCGCCGTTGCTGCCCATTACCTGCTACACACGTATCTGCTTTGCCCCCCCACTGCATGTTTAACTCTTGTCGATGTTGTTTCTGTTTTGCTGTGTTCTTCCCAGCCTCTCCCAGCTCTGGTCTGCGGCCGGCCTCCTGGAGCTTCTTCCCTCCCTGTACGTGCTGGTGGCGTAGCGACGTCGGGTGTCGATGCTGTGGCTCTGTTAATTGGGGCTCGCTTTTGCCTAATAATCGTTTTTATTTTTTTCACATTGCTGTTTCGACCGGGAGCGAGTCGCTGAATGTTCCAAAATCAGTCGGTATAAAAGGGCTGCTGTTGTCCATGCCGTTGTGTTACAGGGCTTTCCATTTTTGTAAAGAATAAATTGCATTTAAGTAATAAATAATTTCATAATTCGAATTATGAAAATAATAATTTAATAAGAATTGAATCTAAGGAAGAAATTGCATTTGTTTGTGTTTAGACATAAAAACCTAAAGACTGAATATATGCGCTTTTCACATGTACAGTACAAGTTTTGCATCTTTCACATGTACATGTTCTGCGTAGTGAATCTAAAATACAGATATTATATCACACTGAGATTTAGAGGGTTATTTGCCTATAAACCCATGCAGATGAGCACAATAAAAAAAGTTATTCTGGATTAAAAAAATAGTATAAGGGTATGTTTGAATTAATTTAGATCACTATAATGCTTTTACTTAACTGTTTACAGAACAAAGCAAACACCGGTGCATTTTATCAAGAATGTATTAGGGGACTTTTGTAACGTGTTGGGTCTTGTTAGATGTGTGTTCTTGCTGTGTGATGGTTGGTAGCCAGTGAGGTAGCTGTAGCTGTTCCTGTCGTGTTCAATGATGGAGTCTTACTGAACCCTTTTTTTCCTCCTCCCCCTGCCCCTGTTACTTGCATGCAGATTTGGAGATGGAGAGTGTAAACGCAGATAATGTATGGGTGCCCGACCCTCTAAACCACTACAGACTGAGCTCAGGTAGACACCTCTGTTCATTGGAATCTGTGTGATCTAACCTAGAGCTAACCCAACACTAAACACCTACCGTACCGCCGTCTGCCTTGTCTGTCTAACACTTTATAACAATAGCACAACTCCTTCACTAACCTCTCCGCATGCTCTCTAGGCCTCCCGAATAGTAATGAGGAGAGATTCTAAGTAAGGAAAGAAGCTAGGCGTAGGACACACAAGTGTGTCGCATTACATTGTTTCAAATCTTTACCCGTTTTTTTTAACTCTTCTCCATGTTCTCCGACACAATGGAACATCCACATTTCTCTCAGTTCTCTAGATACATGTACCTGAACTCCCCTCAATGTCAGGTTTTCTCAGAATTGATGTACATTCAACAGATGAAGCTCTAATTGATTTTTTTTTTCTTAGAATTTCATTTAAAACCACTATCTTCTCTTTTGCATTGTAACTTAAATACCTAAAATAATTTCTTATTTCCCCTCGGATGATGTCACAGCCAGCAAAATACAGTCATACCTGTATTTTATGAAGGAGGGAATTACAGGTGGGGAATGTGTTTGTTTCAGACTAAGAGTAAGGCCTTGATTCAGTTCTCCTCCTCAGAAAAGGATGCTGATGCTTTGGTTTTGACATCTTGCTGTGTATAAAAACAAGATGTGGAGTGAAATGACAAAACGCTATGTGTAGGTTTGTCCAAGGCTTTAAAGTGTGTTATATCATATATTTGCCTGTTAGCAATTGTAAGGTATATTGCTTTGGATAAATACGTGGCTGACTATCTCTGCTGGGATCTGTGGAATGTAAAATTTACAATTCACAAGCCTGAGAGAAAATGAAAGCTGGAACTGCTTAAAAAAGGAGCTCAGTTGTGATATTGGTGAAGGTATCAATTTCTTTATCATCCTGGCCTGTACTCAGTATGATTTATATCTACTAATACTAGCTAGAAGAAGGTCATTCTTTTTCATAGTTCAATGTTGTATATGTTACCTTTGCTTACCCTGCAAAACAGAAACTATTGGCTGGACTTCAGACCAACATCTAATAAGTAAGCAGCTGCAGAGCTGCATAGTCAGGTGGCTCTGCTTGCTTGTGCATGCATTAAGTCATCACACAGCGGTGCACTGGCTCTTGATTTTTTTGCATTTTATTTTTTTTATACAAGTCCAGTGGGATTACATCACTTAATTGTTGTGCTTGGAACGTTAGTTTGCATTGTGTTCTGTCCTACGTGTGGTGCAGTGAACTCCAATGAAGATGCAAAAGCAGTAAGGGTGTTTAATTTAACAGGTTGATCTCTGTTTCCAAGACCTGATTCAGTCAAGCCAGTATGCAATGGTGTTTCTTCGTGTCCGCGTTTTAATTTAAAGACTTGTCTGCGCCATTCATTTCCTCAAGGCGAATAATTAGTGACACCAGAATTCCTCTTCCAAGTTGTCTTTGTGCTCGGACATTATGACATTATGTGCAGTCTCTTCAGTGAATTTAAATGTCACATTCCTTTGAAGAAACCCTGGTGTGTCCACATAAAGCCACTTTCCTGCTCAAAGAAAGGCGTTGAGGGCTTGTATCTGTATCCGGGGAGAGATACTGATATTTACTCAACTCCTTTAAACTGATTGTTGAAGCCAAAGTGATGGTTCAGATTTAAGGGTATCTTATGCTCAGGACACTTGAGTTAGGTAAAAGTTCTTGTCACTCGCTGTGCAGTTCAACATACTCCAACTTAGAAATATCAATCTATGAATTAAGAAGTATAATTTATACTTCAGTTAGTTTTTCTTATTTTTCTTCTTGTGTTTTTAAGAAGCAAGTGAAGGTCTCTCAGACTTTATTCGCCTGCGGTTGAACAAAGTGCCTTTAAGTTGTAGTTGTATTTACAGCAATATCAAAAGGATACCAGAAGGGAGTGGAATGACTCACCCCGTAATATTTGAAAGTTAAAATTATGCTGTTATCATACTGTGCTGAGATTTAATGACAGGATGTTCTTGTTTATGCTCTTAAAGTTAATGCAAAGAGCCCTTCAAAAATTCCATTTAGTTCTCTGCAACATGCTTTCAAATTAAAGCCAGTAATACATAGCACTTACATGGTATTAACACATACATCTCTTCAGACTTAAGTGTTAGCTGCACTGTAGGCTGATCAAGGCAAAAAAATGAACTGTTAAGGTTTTTTATTCATCCAGCATCTACTACCCACATGTATCCTAAACGTAGAAGAGTTGATTATATGACTCTGTGTGAGAGTAAGAAGAAAGGCTTGGTATCTGTTTAATGTTTTGTCAAAAAGTTAAAAAACTGTCAGAGGTACAGGACAGAAGAGTATGTTCCTTAACAAAACACTTAGAACAACAGAGAGAAAAGAGGCACTCTGCACTTATTGAACACAGTGATTCTCCACATAGAGCAAACTGCTTTCATCCACATCTGCATCCTTGACTGTCTGTCTATCCCTGGGTTGAGCAGTCTTCCTCCCGTGTGAATGTCGGACAGCTGCAGCTTCATGCATGCCAGTGCAAGACGTATAAGCAGGAAAATGGGGGGGAAAAAACAGCTGGGGAAAGCTGGGATTATAACCGTGTTTGTACATCAGCCCCATAAGGGATGTCAGGCAGCTGCAGGAAGAGAATAACTAAGAACAATCTTCACATCGTCGGAATTCTCTGTAGATCCTATGATGTCTACCAAGATGTTGTACCCTTCCTGTGAAACATGAATTTAGACATTATTTAGCAGCAGCATCCCGTAGAGCAGTCTTGCACAAAGTGTCCATCAGGGAATGGGTGGGAGAGCTTTAGCCAAAGTACCAGCTGGTCAGGTTGCACAAGTTTGACCTGCCTGTTTGTTAAGGCTTGATGAAATCTTTTGTTTTGTCCTTCTACATGTGTGTTTACATATAGACACGTCTTCATACTGGTTGTTTTATTCAAACAAGAATCATGTAGTAAACATTACATCTCTTTGATATACAACTTGGGGATTCTTCCACCAAGAACACCTTCAAAGGATAATTCCAGAAACACTTTGTTATTGTTACGAGAGCCACATTCTGCACGCATCAAAGCATACTGCTTCAAATATTGAGACAGAAAACACAGGAAAATTCTTGTTGTCATTTGTATTCAGGGTTTATGCATATACATGCATTTGTGCCCTGTAATTCTGAGTGCGTTATATAAACCGTAATTGCAGGGAAGTGTTAGAATTGTGTTATATTAAAAACAGGACACTTGTTAGGCACTTGTTGCACCAAAGCCAATTACTGTAGCACTAGCACCTGCCTGAACCACCTCTTGTGCCATTTAATTTGGATACATTTAATCTGAAAATGTGGGATTGATCCTTATACAGATACAGACATTGTCCCCCGTAAACTAGGCATTGAGAGAAAATGTATTTAGAGCCAGTTTCAATACTTCCATTGTAATTTTAGAATAGATTAGTGAGTTATTTATTCTTAATTAGAATTCTGATCCTGCTAACAAAGTAGATTGTTATTAGGATATGATTTATTGATGACTCCTATTGCTGGGCTGTTGCTTTGATCCAAATATACCCATATTCCAGTGCTACTGTAGGTAAAATTCTAATTAATTTTAGTATCTTCTTAAAAAGAGATTTTTAATCCTGGTACTGGTTTTCATTCCAGCTGTGCTCTTAATTGAACTTAGCTAAATTATAAGTACTGCCCAGTGAATAACATGTACCCTAGGGTCCCATGTACTGTACCTGTACTGCTTAAACAGGATATGATTTGCAGAGGAGTTGCAATCTTGTTCTTCTACAAGGGACACCCTCAGTTGGGGTTGCCATGATTCTTGAGGGACTCAGCTGCACATTCCTGGTCAGCAGGACTGGGTTCTGGGAAACCTTCCAGGATGGGAAGATGATGGAAATTCTGTCTTCACAGCCACACACGGCCCGCCTCTGAGTCTGTCCATTTCATTGGGTTGGGGGCGAACTGTTTCGGTCTGTGAGGGTACTTTAGAAAGTGCTTTGAGATACTTCTGTAAGTGAAAGGGAACCAAATATACACAACTTTTTCTTTGGGTTCCCTTAATGAGCCATCTGCAGTTTCACTGTATTAGCATTGTGTACTTAAACATGCATGGCTTAATCTTGGAGAGCGGCATATGTTACTAGCAGGATCAGCACCTAATCCAGCTGTTCATTCTCTCAGGGGATTGAACATGTTGTATTCTTCATGCTGGGATTGTCTGCAGAAGTCAGAAGAACACCTGATCCCTAATGTCTGGTATAAGATGAATTGGGCAAAACTATGTGAAGACACACGAAGGAAAATAACAATGTGTATGGCTGTGTTAAATAACACAAAGAACTAGGGCAGAGAAGTCACTGTTGTCCCATAAGAAAATGAAGAAGCTGAGGATTAACAAATTGTGATTAAGATCGGCAAGTTCCTGTTTGTCAACCTTGGAATTGTTTCAGATTTTAATGTCTTTTGAGTTTTTTTAGGCATTTTTTTTGCCTGTCGGGAGCTTCTCTACATATTCTGCTGCCTACCTGCGCTACAAAAGTCAAAATGCAAATATATTTAAAAGCTTTTATAGAGCCTGTTTCACTACTGGCAATGCCTCACCTTGAGGTGAGGTATAATGTCAGACAATGCTGGAAAAAATAGCTCATCTACAGAATTTGATCACTTTTGTGCAGGTTCAGGACTATTTGCTCTTTGTACAATACTCACTATTGATGCACACCCTGACACCAGATAATTTTTTGTTTTTTAATGAGGAACGTAGATTTTACTGGAGCTTATTTAAGATGAAAAGTTAAAAAAAAAAAACAATTGCGCAGGACACTTACAGTGAGACACGAAGCAAGCGATGAATGAGAGAAACCATAAGAACCCTGATCATATGACATAAAATCGAGCCATCGACATTTGCGTTTCGGTCCATACTGTAATGACTGTGGAACAAAACCTTGATTGTCAGTACAAGTCTGTAATAACACTACTCTTACTTTACCCTTTCA